GACATGGAGGAGATGGTGTGAGGAAGAAATGAAAACTTATGGTCAGTCGTGGAGCCAGGTAAGAAAACAAGACTGCAGAGAAGAGAGTGAAATGGTGACGTGCTACTAAAGCCCTATGTTCCACTAGCAACCCAAAGCACAAATGATAACTTATAAAATAATATATATGGAGTTGTGGCTCGTTGGTTTAAAGAGTTGACTTTCAACCAGTGGTTCACGGTTTCGAACTCCACTTCATCTAACGAGATTTGAGCATTCTTCAAGCAATAAATGTGTCTTATTGTCTACTGCATGAATACGCACAAGGCCGCTGAGTATATTTCAATTTGAAAAGTGTATATTAATTCGATAACAAACCAAATGCAAGTAATGTATGTGAATGTGAGCAATTTCCGCTTAGTGACTCCCTTAACAGCACAACACAAGTAATTAAAAACAACTGTCTCAATTATTTTCATGCAGATGACCTTCTTCAATTCTTGCATTCAACATATATCTTTCTGAATCTGGAAACAAAACATCAAGCCTCAGCTAGTTAGTTGTCTATGTTATCTAGATTAATAAAACTGAGGTACCTGATATATTTCGGGTTGACTAAGAGAATGAATACTTTAGGTATGATGAATCAATTTGCAAACGATTTACAAATTACATGGTTCACTTTGATATTTCTCACAATTGAGAGGTTTTTCAACTACTCAACTGTGGCGTCAATAAGGCTTCCTTGGAACCCAAGTCGCCGACATTACAAAGTGTGATGTCTGACACAAAAGAGGTTAAGAACGAGTGAAAGACACTAGTGAACAAGCTGAGTAGTTAGAACTCACTCAGGTTGATCTATGGATCACGTCAATAAGACCAGAAATTAATGTTATCACAAAGTAATTCAGAAGTGAGTTTGTATGAAGGTTAGTGTTGGAGAGGGAGGGGGAGGGGGAGCGGGAGTGGGAGTGGGACAAGGGATTTTTGGTGAATCTTTTCCCTACTTGTTGTGTAGATAAAGTTTAGTGCACCACAATACCAGTAGGAGAAGTAACTGTTGATTGATTGTGTGGAGTGACTGAAAGTCGTGGTGTTATTATAGTCACAAACATGAAGGCTTCTTGTAATCTCATATCTGTTGGCATTATTCACAAGCATCCTCTATAGGCATAGAAGCCATACAGTTGTTTTAACACTGCAGACAGTACATTTAAAACAAACCACAAAGGTTCACATGTATGTGTATGCAGCTGCAATGAAATTCCAAAACATCACCACCTTCAAATAATACATCATACTACCCATAATACTAATTCTATTTCTCCTCCTTCCACTTGTTAGCATGCGTTTCCTCACTGCTTCCACTTTCTCCCTACGTGGAAATGCTAACATATCATAGATAAACAACTGAATCATCTAGAATGTATTCAATGGTGGGGTATTTTTCTGGGACACACCTGAAATTAGTCTGACCTTGAAGGCCACGCTAGCAACAACTCAAATAACCAATCGGACTTCTCTATTTTATCAGGATTTGTCTTTTCAACCGAAATGAAGGTATCTAATTGGTTGTTTCGGTTGTTGTTAGAGTGATCTTTGAAGTCACCCAAACATTAGATTAGTCAAGCAGTTAATTTTAATTACCAACTTTATTTCGATGTTCTCAATGGTTCATCACATCCAACGTTGTATTAAATGCGATTATGAGAAAGGTGTTTAGTAAAAAATGTCACCAGTACGTATTATTTGCAGTCGCAAATTATTATGGATTATAAAGCAAGAGCAATTCATACTTTCACCTTGCAACACATCTAACTAATCAACATTCAGATTTTATTTTCCATTGACTGACTTATACTATTCTGTCGAGGTCGTAGGGTTGATTAATAGTCTATCGTGAACAGGTTAAAAAGTATGGTGCCTGTATGTGCATCCCGTGGTAGTGGTCAATCGAATCAAATGAGAAATCACAAATGAGATTTCAAATATCGTTACATTATTCTACGCGACTTTTGTTCAAACTATTCTGGAATCGTGCAATCAAGTGTCATACAGTACTAGTTAGTTAGTTAGTTAGTTTATCTTTCTTGTTATACGTGACATTCTTAGAATTGATGAAGGTGCTGTAGTAGCAATACTTTTGTTCTTCAAAAGGTTATAATCATTCATGTACAATACCAAAATCAGACTGAGTTATAAATTCCCCAGTTATTTAGTATTTCTTTGTGTACACAATATGAAAACAATAGTGGTAAACCGTTAGTTAGCTATATGATTGGGTGAAATTTTTCAGTATATCGTCAATCAGTATAACGCTTAATCTCCGATTTCAAGAGTCTCTGAAGAAAAGTTATCCCATAATAATATTTTCTAAGACATAGGTTAGTCAATAAAGGTTTCGAAGCTATTTACGGAAAGCTTTGAATCTATGTTCCATGCATGTTTTGCACTTATCATTATGGATATATGTTGACAGCATCAACAGAATTCATGCTTCCGTAGAAGTGTTAGCGTCTGTCATGCTATGGGACAGTAAGAGATCTGAATGTTGAGGTATTCGAATCAGTGAAGTGATGAGTTTCACGCTGATTTAGTACTAAACACTAACCAAAATTTTCGATCACTTCCTCCTACATAGTATATTCACTTTAATAACGGAAACGTAGGTGTACATTCTCCTCTTAATTGTGTTAAACTATAAAATTTTGTCTGAATATATGACAAAGACTAATAGGATGATAAAACATTACATTCACCTGATGTACTAATCACTTTAGCATTTTTATAAAGTAAGTAATTTGGTAAATTTATTATCACAAAAAGTGCAAGAATGTTTGTTTTAAAGTTTATATCCAGTGATTATTCAGTGTGTTTAATCCGGTCCTACAGGAAATTAGTCGTGGCCGGAATAGCTCAGTGGTAACGTCTTTGACTGCAGTACTGAGTGATATTGTTTCGAACATCAGTCGGTACACTAGTTCCGTAGATGTTCCTTATACGCTATGTTGACGACTGCTAAAAAGTACGGAACCTGGGTCGACTAAGGTTTCCTGACGATTGCATCAATCCAACTGAAACTGTGGTTCTGTTTGTTGAATGGAACAAGCAACAGTGAGACTTCCTGAAGTGATGTCACGTTCGACCAATCGTCGTTGACTTTGCTCACATGCTTAAAATTTTGGGTTGCCAAGACATTTCCATTGTATATATTACATGAAATTACTCCCTTTTGTACTTGTTTTAATTATTCAAATGTCAACAAATCGTAGAACGTACTCTCGTGCGTTTTTTAAAATGTCTTTAGCTTATAATCAGACAAGTTGACAACAAAATTACAAAAAAAATCACCATAGATGGCAGTCGGCTCTTGAGTTCGCAACAGTTCATCACATAATTATTACAGGAATAGTTATCAGGAAGTGGAGATTTTTATACTGGCTGAATAATCCTCCACGACCAAATGTACGGGTGCTTTTCTAGCCGTCCCCTTTGTGCAGCAACTTACCCTCAAACTATACGATAACCTAAGAACAACTGGCCATTGTGTATTATTGCTTATCATACTGTATGGCTCAGAGACTTGGTGCGTTACGAAAAGTATTTTCAACAAACTACAGACATTCATCAACAACAGCCGTCTACACTGGCTCGATAATGAAGATCAGATGGATTGCCAGAATAATGAGAATAAGCAAGAAGGAACTGTGGCTGGCTGGCTGGCTGGCAACAAACCAACTGAGCAAGAACCTATCACTCAACAAATATGCACTGGAATGAAGTGTAGATGGATTGGACTGGACATACACTGAGAAGACCATTCGGGGACATCACATACCAGGTCTTCAAGTGGGACCCAAATGGGAAGCGACGAGTCGGGCGTCCAAGGACAGGGTGACATCAAGGAGATCGTGCGAGGAAGAAATTAGAGCTTCTGGGCTGTCATGGAGCTAGGTTGAAAAGATTGCAGAGAAAGAGTGGAATGGAGACGTGCTACTGAAGCCGTATGTTCCACTGGGAACCCAAGGGACAAATAATAATAATAATAATGATAATAATAATACTGTTATAACTAACATTATTGAACAGCGATGGTTATTTAATTTGAAAATACTCCAGAAGGATTTAGAGGTAGTATTTATCACGGACTGACATCATTTGGGGAACCATTGAAAACCTGAGAGCACGCGACAGCTGTTTCGTCGTAGTATGGGACTCCTAAGCAGTATGTACCCATCGCCGGGCTAGGGATCAAACTCAAAACCTTCAGGTAACATGGTTTTCAGTGGTTCAACAGTTTTGCAAATTCTGTCAATTCACTATATAAAGCGTCTATCCATCACTCAAAGTCTTCACTTGGCATCCACTTCCCTTCCCACTAGTTGACTCCACAGGTCACTTATAGCTTTACATTAGAACTTTGTGATAAATATCTGGAAACGTGTAACTAATGAGCATTATATAGTAGTGTATTTTTGAGTTGAATTAGGATGTCCAATCCTCCTAGATTTTCAATGATCTCTCAACTGACGTCATTCCGTGATGAATACTACCTTTAAATTTCATATTGTATTGAAAAATTATTGTCTAGAATAAAAGTGACCATTTATTAATGATAGATCGTGGCCAGCAGCGGAATCCAGGATGCGCATTTCGTCCTATTTGAGACTCGTCAGCTGGAACAACATCACTCGCTGGGAAGCAGGTACATGCAGCTGACGAGTTCCCAAATAGGACGAAATGCTCATCGTGTATTCCACTGCTAGCCGCAATCTATCATTAACATAATTAGGACGCAGGCAATATCGAGGCATCCGCACAGGAGCCCATATGCCAATAGAGACCAATCAGTTCGGTCGAATCAACGACGATATCATATGAAAACAATTATACTAAAAGTGATCATTGTTTGCTATTAGTTTGCTCAGTATGAAGTTCATTTAGATGACATTCGTCGTATACTTCTTTTTATCGTTCTACAATAGTCAATTTTTACTATGTTCTTATTCTATTTCTTATAGGTAAACAGTGCGAAATCAATATATATGATTGCTTTAATCAACCATGTGGTTTTTATGGTGCTTGTAAAGATGAAATCGATGGTTATCATTGTCAATGTTTAAGAGGTTGGAAAGGATTACACTGTGAAAAATCGATTGATTCAGTTATATATTCAAGTTTCAATAAAACTATCCATTCCTATTCTTCATTAATACATAATAATAGCATAATGATTTTGAATCATAATCAAACGGAATTATGTCCTGAAAATTATTGTGCTAATTCAGCTACTTGTATATCGATTACAGATCCTTCTGTCGCGTTCAACAACACCTTCAAGTTGTTGAAAAATACACTACAATTGAAACATAATTTAGATTCTGTTCATGAGTTCAAATGTCTTTGTGAAACTGCTATCGGTCGTTTTAATGGTATGAAAAATTTATTTTATACATTTTTTTATGCTTTCAAAGTTGTTAAATACTTTAGCACAGTGGCTCCAGAGACCAGTCTAATAACAACTGAAATAACCAGTTAGACTTCATGATTTTATGAAAATCTACCTATCCACCTTGAAATAAAGGAATCTAACTGTTTATTTCAGTCTTTGATGGGGTTGCTCTGATAGCCAAAGGGTGACTTTAAACGCCAGCCTCAGCAACAATTAAAATAACCAATTAAGTTTTTGTGTTTCCATTGCAAAAGCACACTTTCATGAAATAGAGAAATCTGATCGGTTATTTTAGTTGTTTCTAAAGTGGTGGCCTTTAAAGGTCACACAATATGAAGCCTGTAGCATCAATGATGTTACCCGGCTTGTTGCCATCTTAGTTTAATATAGCGGGCGACTTTAAAGGCTAGCCTGACAACTATCGAAATGACCAATAAGGTTTTTTATTATCTAAGTTGGAGATGCGGATTTTCATAATATATGGAAGTGTAATTGAATATTTCAATTGTTGCTAGGGTGGCCCTTAAAGTCACCCCCCGCCGCAGCAACTGCTGAGATAACTAATCATATTTCTTCATTTTAAAAATATCTACCATCACAGACTATAGACTAAAAGCTGATTGGCTACTTCAACAGTTAGCTTATGGCCTCTTAAGTCACCCTTTTATTGAGTGACTTTAAGGCCACCCTAGTAACTGCTGTAATGATCAATCAAGCTTCGCTATTTTATGAAAAAGGAGTCGGATACCGAAACCTGATTGGTTATTTCAGCAGATGCCAGGGCGCCTTGAAAATCACCCTGAAATACACTGATGTTATTGGCTGCCTCATCAGTTTCTGGGTTGGCGTTTAAAGGTACCCCTTTTTGTTTGTTATTTTTCAAAAAAGAGGGATGAACGACAGGGGACTCTGTGTGACCTTAAAGGCCACCCTAGCAACTAATGAGATAGCCAATTATATTCCTTTATTTTATGGAAAAGTACTTTTCCAGGCGGAATACAGAAACCTGATTAGTGTATTCAGCAGTTGTTAGGGTAGCCTTTTAAGCCGTTCGCGTCTTTAAAGGTCACCTTAGTAACAACTGAAGTAACCAATCAGACTTTTCTAGACTTTCCAAACGAAAAGAAGAGACCTAACTGGTTGTTTCGATCGTTGCTAGGGTGACCTTTAAAGTCACACTTCAAATTGTGCTTCACTAATGTATTATGCAATTTAATTTCTCAAACGTGACTGATTATTTCAATCTGTTTCACTTTGGATGTAATAATCAAAGTCAAATCCAGTAGAGCATAGTAATTCCTGAGCACCCTTTACAAGACTAGTCCTTTAATAATCCACTACAGTGTCGCCAAACGTGGTTTTAAAGGCCACCCTAGCAACGATCGAAGCAACCAATCAGGGTGATTTATTTCTTCTGGAAAGATAGATTTTCAAAAAATAGAAAAGTCTGGTTGGTTGCTTTAGTTGCTGCCAGGGTGACCCTTAAAGTTACCCAGTTTGAGTGATCTGATCACACATATATTTGTGTTAAACACTGATAAAGGTGAAATGGTAAGGCTAAGTTGAAGGTCAAAGAACAAAGACAGTGCTGCAGCGATCTTGGTTTTATTGCAGAAATCAGCGAGGAAGGTTTAATGGCATACAAAACTGTCTCTTAAGAGAGAAAATAGTCCTAACCTTTACAATAGATACAGCTTTGACAAATCTGAAAGTGCGTTTCTGACAGGTCTTACATGTGTCTTTAAACAATGGAAGAACACTTCATGTCTCATCTGAACTACATGTTTCGTAAAATGATGAGTACAAATGTGTGGTACCATTGTTGACCATCATTATCCATCAACACAGGACCAGACATTACTGAGTAACTGTCCGAGTTGACACAGCTCATATCAGTACATCAAGTAAAAAGGCAGTCAGGTGAAAGATGAAGATAAGAAAATTCAGTCTAAAGAAATAGAAAGTACTAAAAGAGAGAAAGGAAGAATGACAAAATGTTGAGATTCGGTATAGCATCTTTAAGATGAGAATAATGTGTGTACACATCTGCGCCACTGACATCGATTCTGAGCCATGTGACCACCTTGAGTCTCCAACCACTGGTTTATCTTGTCCCGCCGACCCCAACCGGCTATCTGCATCATCCTACATTGGGTCAAACGAACGGTCAGAGACTTCATACATTGATGCCATGTTTTAGTCTGGCCACCATCAACCTGAACCTACTTCGGTCAACATAGTGTGACGAGGCAAACGACGACTAGGCATATGTAGTACGTGTCCCAACCATCTCAGTCGATGAAGGTTCACAACGTCGTCAACTGATTTACCTCTTCTCCCTAAAAGTCTACGCCCAACTTCTGCGTTACTCACGTGGTGACACCAGTGTTGATGAGGTAAAGGGATTCAATCTGTTTTCATAGTCACATGGGAGATGCTTATCAATGGTGTTACTTGCAGGGATTGATGAGTCCTCCCTTTAAACAATAAAATTGATAATATATAATATATAAGCTAAGTATTTTAAATTATCATAACTTTCTCTATATAGCCTTTTAAAACACTTCTAAAGTTGGGAAAATTTTGGGAAATGGTTCGTCATCATTGTCACCTCCTACACCAATCAATATCAGTTAACTTCCACTCCTTTTTTGTCTTCTAATTTCTAATTGTCCTAGAACACGAACTTTCTCCTACTAAACACATCATAGTTGAGCTGAATATAACAGAACTCATTTACTAACAATTCTCAGTGTCATTCTGTACATAAACAGTTACCTTCAATATATATATCCGTTATGAGAACAGCTAAATTTCAGTCTGCGGGCAAGAGAAAATGATTATGATGTAAAGGAAATGTCTAGTAGAGATGAGCTTTCTTTTTTTCATTCACTTAAGCATTTTGACTGAATATTTGAAACTTCCTTCACCTTGAATAATGAAACATTCAGCCGACGGAAATGATGATCCATCATTGTCAAAGTTGTATTGTCATTACTATTATTATTATTATTACTACCATTACTATCATTATTATTATTATTTGGCTATCTTATCTTTCTGCATCAGACAGATACTAGAGTTCTCCCACCTTAAATATGAGTAAATTGTTTTCATCCTTTACTGATGATAACACCAAGGATAATATGAGTATTGGTCAGTGTTTCAGTTATAAGTAAGTTTATTAGATTAAGAGAAAGCTGGTTAACAAAGTAATAGAAAATAATAATATCACTCTGACATATGTGGTTATATATTGATGGAGCTGTGTCTCGTCGGTTTAGCGAGACGACTTTTAACCAGTGGATAACGAGTTGAAGTCCTGTTCCACCTACCAAAGTTTTGGTTGCTAAGTGGTATCATTACCTGTCACTCAATAGATATATCTTGCTGCCTTCTGCATCAATGTGCACAAGGTTTCTAAGTGGATCTTGATTTCAATTAGACTATATACTATGCTTTAAGTCACAGTTATTGACTAGAGAGGTTTGATAATTCGTTCCGATCATCTAATTTATCATCATAACATAGATTTTCTTATGGAGGTTTCCCTCTCGTCACCTAATTACAGAGACGTTGACCCAATCACAGGTGAATTTTCTCTCGATCTAGAATATGCAGATGACATAGTCAGTCCTGTTAGGTGAAGACGCTGACAAGATGCAGAGTCTTCTGAACACTTTGAGTGGGAATTTGAGAATGTTTGGGATGCGATTTTCACCACCCAAATGCAAATTTTTGCTCCAGGACTGGTCTTCAGCGGTGCCCCACCGCGGCTAACAATAGAGAGTGAAGTGTTTGAGTGTGTTGACCACTTCACTTACCTGGGAAGTAGGATCAGCCCTGGTGGGTTAGTTGCCGATGAAATCTCTGCACAGATACAAAAGGCTCGATTGGCTTTTGCCAATTTGCGCCACCTATGGCACCGCCGTGATATCCGTTTGTCTATTAAGGGTCGCGTGTACTGCACAGCAGTCCGCTCTGTTCTACTGTATGTCTGTGAAACATGGCCATTGAAAGTGGAGGATACAAAAAGGCTTCAACTGTTTGACTTCTGTTGCCTTTGTAGTATAGGACGTATTCCGTGGTGTCACCATGTGAGTAATGCAGAAGTCAGGTGTGGAGTTTTAGGGAGAAGAGGTAAGTCAGTTGACGAGGTTATGAACCCTCATCGACTGAGATGGTTGGGACACGTACTACGTATGCTTAGTCACCGATTGCCTCATCACACAATGTTGGCTGAGGTGGGTCCAGACTGGAAAAAGGCTCGAGGTGGCCAGACTAAAACATGGCACCAATATATGAAGTTTCTGACTGTTGGTTTGAGCCATGTAGGACGATGCAAACTAGGTGGTTGGGGTCGGCGGGACAAGATAAACCAGTGGTTGGAGACTCTAGGTGATATGGCTCAGAACCGATGTCAGTGGCGCAGATATATCCCCACACACATTATCCTCATCTTAACTACACTATATCGAATCTGGCCATTTTGTCGCACCTCCTTCCTTTCTTCTCGTACTTTATTTTCTTTTGACTACATTTACTTACCTTCATCCATCACCTCACTACCTTTTTACTTGATGTGCTGATATGAGGTGTGTCAACTCGGACCGTTACGCAGTAATGCCTGGTCCTATGTTGATAATGATGATGATGAAGCTGAAGTAGCTGGAGGTAGGTTTGAATCCAGAACCCACTAGTTGTCAACGGATACTATGAAATGAAACCAATTACTACTAAATTTATCTTTGAAATGAATGATTTCCATGATATATTTTCATACGATATTAGCTGATGATAGAAGTCAACTAAGAATACTGAAGTCATTCAGTTTGTTATTTTTCATTCTTAGCATCATCATCATCATCATCATTGATAACCGGAGTGAAGTAGGCAATCGTCACCTTTTCAGTGCTTACTTACAAGGGATCGAACCCAGGGCCTTCAGGTTACGGTATGTCGTGGACTGATAAAAATAGGAAATAAAGAACATTGGATCCCAGTCCACTAGTTCAATGGTGACGAGTTGGCTTCGGGACCTCAAGATCTTGGGCTCAGTCCGAGGCAGTGGGGGGTCACAAGTGCACATTGCTGACTAGTCTCATATTGGGACGAAACGGCCGTTCAGTGCCCTCAGATTCTTTTAATGGTCCCCCAACTGGTCTTAGTTGGTGATGAATATCAGCCCAGACGTTTCTAAACTGAAAAATAATAATAATAGTGAAGAAACAGATGACGACTAGAACAATTGGAATGGTAGTGGTTACATATGGTACTCTTTGCACTAACGCAGCCATTTGCAAATGTCTTCGTTTCCTCTCTGTTACTGTCTTGATTTGCTCTTGACCAGCTCTTCATACACTCATATCAGCAGCATCCCCTGTAATAGGCCTGTGTTGTCTCCTGCGTTGCTCTTGGCAGAAACCTTACCCGTTGCCGGTAATTCCCTATGATTCCTGCCACCCTCTCGATATATACTACTTATATCCGTTGTTATCAGCAACGCCCAGTACAATAATAATAATAAGGCGGAGTTAACTTTGCGTTGGGAACACAATGAAAATATAATACACAATCTAGAAATGATTAAGTGATTCTTTTCTAGTCGCGTTTTTTTTGAAATATATGTAGTTAGATAAAAGTCCTTCCGTGAATTTCAGCACTAATTTACTACTAGGCTGTGAAAGCGTGGAAGAGAGTGGCGGTGTGTAGTGTGAAACAGATTATGGTTTGCGGATCCTTACACGTAATTAGCTTGTAGGGATTATTCAACTAACAAATATCGGTTTAATGATACCGTCTGGATGAACTTAAGGGAATTAAAAATCTTCGGGATAAGGAATTCATAATTTACTTAAGCTTAGGACCTAAACACACGTATGTTACCTAAAAGTTTATTGGTGCCTAGAAATTTTCTGAGTATCTGAGGTAGCCGTGGTTTAGCAAACTACTATTGTTACTGGTTGACAATTGAAGGTGAAATGAAAGTTTAGACCGCGGCCGAAGCCTAACTGTTGACCAGATTTTTATTTCACTACTATGTGAGTTCGTAACGTGTTACTGCTACTTGATCGCAACCACACTGGCTGCCTAGCCAGGACTTCTCATTCCAATCGAACCAGAAACCATAGGGTTTCCTGCCCTATGCTCTACCAGTTGAGCTACCGATCGTGGTCCAAATTGTCGTCTCACCTTCAGTCATCACCCAGTAACAATACTACTACTATTTCAGATAGTCAAAATGATTATCAATACGATACTCCCCTTCTCTAATTCACTTAGATTTTAATAGAGATGAGAAGTCCTGACTGAGCAGCCAGTATGATTGGCTTATGGCAATACCTGCTTAATTTGTTTGACTGCATAACATATAAATCAGTCATCCCAGTCGATAAATGTTCAAGATACAGTTTTACATTCTTTGCAATAGCTTCACCTTTATAAAGACTTGATACAACTAGGCTGAGAACAAAGTAATGTCTAAGGTTTACATCACCTTCATTTTTCATTATTCAAACACGAGTAGTTTGTTTATCACTAATTCAAATGTATAGGTGTTATTTCTTTCATTTACCAATTTATTCAACTAACAAAGTACAACTACTACTGGAGTGATATAAGTAGCCATATATCAAACGAGAAACTCTGGTAATAAATTTTGCTAACTATATGACCTTGTATATGTGGTATTAAGGTTGATTCAAACAAATAATTCCGATTATATGTAAAGTATTCTTTATCACCGATCAAAAGTAGTTTATGGTTATTATTACCCAGGATTTTTATCAACACATTATCTTTGTAATTGTTTAATATTAAATATACTTGTGTTTTCTTATGATAACTGATCAATATCTTTTACAATTATCAACCAATTAAATTATTTCTTCATATTTGTGTATTATACCTTTTTACACATTCTCAAGGTATTTATTGTGATGTTGATGTAAATGAATGTCTTGAATCTGAAAATCATCAGATATCATTATGTCAAAATGAAGGAATATGCATAAATACATATGGATCTTATATATGTGATTGTGCAACAGGATATTATGGTGAACATTGTGAATATTTGCTTAATCCGTGTACTTTTGACAATGGATCTGTTTGTTTCAACGGTGGAACATGTCTACCGATATTTGATGATGTTACTGGTAATAATGGTACATTATGCATTTGTCCAACTGGATTCTCAGGACCACAATGTGAAGTAGGTTTTTTTTTAAAAAATCAGACTAATTTTTACTTTATTAGAGGGACTTTAAAGGCCACTCTTGCAACTGCTGTAATAACCAATCAGGCTTAGGTATTCCCGCTACAAAAACTGATCTTTAATAAAATATAAAAACCTAATTGGTTATCTCAGCAGTTGCTAGGGTAGCCTTTTGAAGTCATTTTTTCATTAGCCTTCGGATTTATTTAATGACCTTAATGACCACCTTAGCAATGACATGAATAACCAATTATGTTTTTCCATTTCGGTTGGAGAGGCAGATTTTCATTAAATAGAGAAGTTTAATTGGCCATTTCGATTGTTGCTAAGGTGGACTTTAGAGCCTATCCGGGTGACTTTAAAGGCAACCCAGCAACTGATAAGACACCCAATTACATTTCTCTATTTTATGGAAAAGTAATGTCTCAGGCGAAATACCGAAGCTTGATTGGTCTATCAGACAGTTGCTAGGGTCGCCTTTAAAGTCGGCAAACCTATTTAATGTTGGAATGAGTTTAAATTGAATGCTAGTATGACTCATTGTTTACACAGTCAGCTGTCGGTTTTTCGGTTGCACTCAAAATTTTCTCATTCTTTCCTGTAAGTGTTCAGACTCAGTCATCTTAGATACTGTCTGCTAAACGAGGATGAATTCGGTCAGAATGAATCGCACTAGTCTTATTTCTTCTTTCTTGTAACTTGGTTTACCATAATATGAGAAAATGTGCTAAAAATGACTCATGGGTTCATATGCTGAATAGCCTTATTACCTAGTACTGGCAACAATTAGTTATGAATGTACGTTGCTTGAAGTGACAACCGTTACTCAGTGGCCTGCTGGATAACGACCTAGTGTTTGCAGCGATGGGTCCCGGGCAAGAGTCTCAATGGGAACAACATCGCTCACTGGAAGGGAAGTATATATCCAGCTGACGAGTCTCAAATGGGACGAAACGTGCATCCTGGATTCCACTGCCAGCCGCTTTCTGTCATTGATATCAAGTCGTTAATTCAGTTTGAGGTTTATGGGAGTTTTATTTTTAAGGTGGCATTCATCACTGACTGAAATCAGTTGAAGCAACGTTGAAAAGCCTCAGAACACTGGACTGCTGTTTCGTCTTTGTATGGGACTCCTCAGAAGAAAAAGTACCCATCACCTCGCCCCTACAGGAATCCAACTCAGGACCTTCAGGTTTCACGGCAAACACTAACTATTCAGGCACTGCATCGGAGTTCAGTCGGTCAGTTTCCTACTTCTGTTAGTTTGCGATGTAGCGCGACCATTTAACAAGGCCTTCAGTTTGCATCCGTCTCACTTTTGACTAGTTAACTCCACAGGTCACGGCTTATCATTAGAACGCCGCGATATCCATTTCAAAGCATGTTATTTATGAGCTCTTTACAGTAATGCAGTTTGAAGTTTAGAGGGATTTTATTTTTAAAGTAACGGTTAACACGTTCACTTGGAAAACTGAAAGTCTTGGTTATGTTGTGTTCTCTGCCCTGGGTGGCTCAACCGTAAAACTTTCATTGTCTTTCCAGGCTACATCATCAGCACTAACTTCAATATAAAGTGACCTGTTAGTATCTTTCCGTGAGTGATACAGTAACCATCTTTTGATAAAGTTTTGAGGGTTACCATTCTTCTTTAGGATAGACATCAAGTAATTTTGTTCATTTCTTGGTGAATTTTTTGTACTGAAGTGTGTTCTCGCTCTTCTGAATAGAGTCTGTACGCAATTAATTTTGTGCGTTGTTGGGTTGTTGCTACTGTAGTTGAGGACTAGATCAGTATGTGCGAACTTCCTATACACTTGGGTTTCCAACTGACTAAAACATCCAGGAATAACAGTTGGTCGTTCTACTCCTTCTCCATTGAAAACATTTTTGACCAAACTGTAAGTGTTTTCTGAATAATCTTTTTTAATGATGACAAAAGTATCGTCCATATAGCAGATCCGAATTTTTGGTTTGATCACAGGGAAAATGATGACTTCCAGTCGATGTTCCCACTGGAGTTCCTTTCATTTTTTTGCATATCTTGTCAGTAAATTGGAGGTATGTTGTCAGACAAAACTCAATAAGTTCCATCAAACTTGGATATTGAAGTTTTGTTTGTTTTTTAAGACTTGTGTCTTCAGTGAGGAGGACAGACATAGTATCCTTGACCATTTGTAGTTCGGCTGATGTGTATAACAGTGACATGGAACAAGTCGTTTAATTCGTCGTTTTCTATATTAACGCCTTTGATCCCTTCTAAGAATTCTGTCGGTGATTTGATGGAATGTCCATATGATTGCAGGCGGTATCTCACTTTCCTTATATGTTCTCTGGATATGTTTTAAGTTGGAGTTCCTGTGAGACTATTGGTAGTATAGAAATATCTGATTTGTGTAGTTTTGGTCTGCCATAAAACCGAGGAAGGACAGGTCCATTCAACTTTATTCGCCACTTGTTTTGCTTTGTTTTTTTTCTTCTGCTTTGAAGACCTTATTCAAGGTATTGTTGACCTGGTTGTCGAACTTTTGGATAAGGTTCCTTTCAAGTGGTTGATACACATTTTCGTTTTTGAGTAAATCCTCTGTCTTCTTGATGTAGTCTTCTTTGTCCATTGGTGTGAACTTTGTGTTTTTTTAAATGTTTTCTCTTCAAGAGTGGTCGTTTGAGTGTATTGTCTCTTTTGTCTGAATAGTGGTATAATCGTTTTCGGTATTTCGAAGGTTTTGGTTTCTATCCATAGTCGGATTCTGTGTGGGCACTACTGAGGAGTCCATTATTAGGACAAAACAGCTGTTAGGTTCTTGGAGGTTTCAAATGATTCTCCAACTGACGTCAGTTACTGACGAGTAGTACTACTTTAAAAAGTAATTATTACTGTTTCATTCTATCATAGTAGGAAACTTTGAATCTGGTGTTAGACTACTAAAAATCAGGAAAAATTTTAACAGCTAAACTGAGAACTAAAACCACTCAAGGAAGGTGACTTAATGTGTATTTTTGACTTTGAAGGTTTATGACTAAGAAACTACTTGAGATTGACGAGGCATATCAATAATAATATAAGTGACCATTTTTAGAGCTTGTTCATTGTTGCTTCAAATGAATAACATTTAACTTCTTGCAAGTAAATATCAACATAATACACACAAATGCGTATTATTCTACATAATGAATCTGGAAACAGTAAATGACGTTTAAATCGATAGGTGCTGGGTTCGAGTCCTAGTAGGAGCACCACCACTCACTGGGAAGCAGGTACATCCAGCTGTCGAGTAGTAAATGGGATGAAACGCTCATCCTTGATTCTAATCCTAGCCACTATTCACCAATACTAGTAAGATTAAGGATATTTTATAGATATTATTTATGAAATATAACCTATTGTGAGCATAAGTTCTTGGATAACATACAAAGAGGGCGACTGGGAAGACAGTTTAGTTGTTTAGAACATCAAATGGTTACCTCTTTTTTCGACTGACTTGAAAAAGATAACACTTGCAATTACTTTTGACATGGTCAGATCACTCTAGACAAAGGCTTATTGACTGGCAAAGAAAGACTGGGCAACAACTAGATTTATTCTGGGTGATGATTGAAGGTGAAACGAAAATTCGGACGGCCGCCGGGTTCGAACCAGCGACCACTAGGTTACCGACCCGGTGTTCTACCAACTGAGCAACGAGGTCCGACTGCTGACCAGATTTTTATTTTACTTCAATCACCAATGACGTGGTAGTAACGCGTCACGAATTCACAGGGTAGTCGGGCAAAATCCTTGGTGATTGATGTGAAATAAAAATCTGGTCAGCAGTCGAACCTCGTAGCTCAGTTGGTAGAACACCGGACCGGTAACCTGGTGGTCACTGGTTCGAATCCAGTCGCGGTCCAGATTTTCATTCCACCTTCAATCCATCACCCAGTATAAATACTAGTCTGCCAAACTACGACTATCTCAGATAGTCAAATGATAAATACTAGATTGCAACATTATCACAGGTTATGAAGCTGGTCGTTAATAATCTACAGTGAAGCACATGGTTCAACTGGGTGTTAGAGGTGTTAACAATCACTGATAAGTTGAAAGTACGATCGAATAAAAAGACACTTGTTGAAAACCTTATGTTTTTAAGGTAGTATACATCCACGGACTGGCATCATTTGAGGAACCAAGGAAAACCTGTGACCACTGGGTAGCTGTTTCGTCCTAGTATTGGACTTCTCAGCAGTATGCACCTATGACCCCGTCAGTAGTCGAACTTAGGACCTTCAGGTTTCAAGGACGAACGCGTTAACCACCTCTAAAATAAAATCCAAATAAACCTCAAACTACAACCTTATACTTTGCATTTTTTCTCTATTAGTAACTTCGTTATTTCCAGTAATGTTAATCGGCGTGTTTGAATCAAACACTGTTCATCTTTTCCTTTGGTCAAGCTTAATGTTTAAGATGCAGAACATGTCGAACTCCTAGCCAGTAGTAGTACAAACAAGAAATTATCAAGTGTATGTAGATAAAATTCACACTTTAGCTCCTTTGCCGAAAAAATTGACTCAGTTTCACGAATTCACCTTTTGAAATATCACTTCTTCAGTTTAACATGACCGAATTCTTAGAAAGTTTGGTACATTAACTGTCTTACCTCTTCTGCCTAAAAAGTGAGCAACACAGAAGTCAGGCGTAGAGTTTTATGGAGGAGAGGTTAGGCACTTGATATGGTTGTGAACCTTCATCGACTGAGATGGTTGGGACGTGTGTTACGTATGCCTAGTCATCGTCCGCCTCATCACACAATGTTGGTCGAAGTAAGTTAAGGCTGGAAAAAAGCTCGGGCTGGTCAGAATAAAACATGAAATCGTTGACTGTTTGTCTGAGCCATGTAGGACGATGTAGACTATCCGGTTAGGGTCGACAGAACAAGAGAAGCCAGTGGTTGCAAAGTCTGGGTGATATGGCTCAGAACCGATGTCACTGGGGCAGATGCATACTCACATTATCCTCATTTTAAACGCTATGCTTAATCTCATCATTTTCTCGTTTCACCTTTGTCTATTTCACTACTTTCTACTTCTTTTGGTCGATTTTTCTTTCTTTTTTCACCTTCCATTTCATTGCCTTGTTACTTGATGTGCTGATATGGGATGTGATGACTTAGACTGTTACACAAGAATACCTAGTCTTATTTTGATCTTGATGATGATGACATAAGCTATGGAGTAATCTAATCTACCCAAACAACAACCACCTTCTGCTATATTCCTGAGTTTCTTATAAAGATGCCGATTTTCTGTAACCCAAAGTCAACTGATGATTGTTTTTTTGTCATAGAAAGCAGGAAAAAATATGATATCCTTGTTGATAAGATACATTTGATTAAAAAAACAAGAAAAAACACACAATCAACAGGCATGACGACAAATTTAGAATGATATTTGACATCATTCAATGCAGTGATTCTTTGGATTTGTTTAAAACCGCAATCTATAACATAATGGACATTGGTTGTTCGAAGGAAGAGAATCACAATCGTGAGCTAACAGAAGTTGGAAATATGGAGCATTGGATTCTGACCTAGTGGCTAGCTCAATGGTAACGCGCTGGCCGCGAAACCTGAAGGTCGCGGGTTCGATCCCTGTTGGTATGGGGTCGTGGGTGCGCACTTCTGAGGAGTCCCATACTAGGACGAAACAGCTGTCCAGTGCTCCCAGACTTCCTTTGTTCCTCCAACTGATGTCAGTCTACGATGAATAACAACTTGAGACACTTACCTTACGTTGTTTGAAACACTTTTTAAAATGTATTATATTTTATCTCTGTATATAAGCAACAGTGACATCTGAGTAGGCTTGACATAATCCTGAATATTTTCAAGACTGAACTCGTGATTCTTCTAAACTATATAAATGATATCTACATTTTATAAAAAACTATTTTCAAACGTGGTCAGAACTCTGAAGTTTGTTATTAATTACTTAAGAGTAGTTGATATGAAACTCTAGATGTAGATTTTGTGCTGTTGAAAGATTTGAACCAGTGATTACAGTTAAAAATGTTATCATCACTGAAATATTTTGCCTGGAATTGTAATCTCATGCGGTGACTGGATTGGTAACACTAATTAATGGCTAGAGAGTAATCAAAATCTAATCAAATTATATCTATCCTTTTGAGACCAATCATCACAATGATTGATGACTATTCAATGTTCTTAAAAGTTCTGCTCATTTGAAAGTAATTTTATTTCACCCTTATTATTTCATATGATTTCTCAATATTTTATTAGGAACAAATAAATGAATGCACAGATGAACCATGTATGGCTGGTGGTGGGATATGCTTAGATTTAATTGGAAAATATCATTGTTTATGCCCAACTGGGAGATTTGGAGACAATTGTGAATTTTCTACTGAACAACAAGTTTGTAATGATCATTCGTGTAGTCAAAAGGAGGATAGAAAAAGGGATTGTGAAACGCATGTAAGCTTCATTCAATGTATTATCTAGGAATTATTTCTTCTTCTCTTATATGTTGATGCAAAAGGAATACCATTAGTAAAGTGGTTTTCTATTATAAGGAACGTTATTCAACTTCTCAGAAATCATACAACTATATGATGTCCCACTTTTCAATAGTATTTGAATTGCACATGCTTTAACTATGCTTAGATATCTTAACCCTACTCCTTTCGAGTGGCTTGGTGGGATTTAGTACAACATTTTGAAGGACTTCTCAAAAGAAGGCAGGTGTTCTGAGTCTACTGAGCGTTCTGTTACAGAGCTGAAGATGTATTTTCGTTCTCCCATTGCCAGTCAGGTTAGGTAGTGTTCATGAGTGCGTTGCATAGGCTTACGCATGGCTCACCCGATGTACTGGACTCCGTAGGAGCAAGTTAACTTATATTCATACATATTCATGTAGCCTAATGCTTATCCCAGTCCAGCTTAACTTATCCTTGGCATACAGACGAATAAGTTTCTGGTTGTAGAATATGATTCTAAGATAAACGGCAAAGAATGTTTGTTTATAGATCTTTGTAATCTTTTTCTAAGGATATCTGCCAAATTATCTCCCCTGAACTGATGGTTTAGCATGAAAATCATTTTCGGCGCAGTATATAAGTATTCTATGGCTTTTCTATGATTTTCAGTGGTTATTCATCTTGTATCAAGACTTCTCTCAAGTTTTCTAGTTCATTTTTGATGGTATTCTGCATTCGTATTGGTAAAATTCCTCTTTCTGCTTAAGGTAATTCAGCTATGCAAGTTAACCAACTGCACTTTCTAAATGCGGTTTCTGTAAATATATCTCTAGCCTAAGTTTTCATTTTTTCTTTGAAGTTGAGCAACAACAAGGGGGCAGAATTTCAAGTTTGACTCTGATTCTATAGTGAATTTAATAAAAAGGATTGAGCACTATTGATATTTTCAAGCAAGTTTTCGAGATTTATATTCTTGTCACAAATAATAAAAATACATCTATGTATATTTTGTCTATATAAAACTCGAGAATAATTTAGTTGAAAGTAAAAATTAATTGATACTTATGAAATTCAATTATATGAACTGACTTGGGGTTGGAAGGGTCAACCATTGGGTTTTAACATATCAGTTGACCAATAGCATAGTCAGTACAAAACCTAAAAGCTTTGGAATTTGTTTCTGCACAACTTTATACTTGTGGAACGGATAAAAGTCTCAAATAAGAATGAAATATTATTTATTCTCGATGAAATCGATCGATATCTGATGACTCCTATGCGGTTATCTTGATGTTGTCTGATTATTGATTATGTTACAATTTGATTAATGGTAGGTAACTAGCAGTGGAATCTAGGATGCACGTTTTTATCTTATTTGGAACTCATCAGGTGGGGATATACCTTAACTTCAGTGAGTGATATTGTTTCCATTGCTTCAAACGCCATAGCGTTATCCATATCACTCACCGGAATGCATATGCATCTAGCTGACTAGTGAGTTCCAAATCGAATGAATTACGCTTCCTAGATTCCAATGCTAGCCATCATAAGGCAAATTACAAGGATGAAATAGTTCATCCACTTCACTCTTCTAGTTTTCTGTGCCTTATTGGAGGTAAGCCGTGTACTCAAAACAAGCATGGTAGCGTTTTTGACTATAATAATAATTCCAAGTTGTTATTCATCGTAGACTGACATCAGTTGGAGGAACAAAAAAAATCTGGGAGCACTGGAAAGCTGTTTCGTCCTAGTATGGGACTCCTCAGCAGCGTGCACCCACGACCCCACACCAACAGGGGTCGAACCGCGACCTTCAGGTTTCGCGGCCAGCGCATTACCATTGAGCCACTGGGTGAGCTAACAGAAGTTGGAAATATGGAGCATTGGATTATGACTCAGTGGCTAGCTCAATGGTAACGCACTGGCCGCGGAACCTGGAGGTCGCGGGTTCGATCCCTGTTGGTATGGGGTCGTGGGTGTGCACTTCTGAGGAGTCCCATACTAGGACGAAACAGCTGTCCAGTGCTCCCAGATTTCCTTTGTTCCTCCAACTGATGTCAGTCTACGATGATTAACAACTTGGAATATTTCCAAATCTCCACAACTCCCTCAAAATATAATAATCGTAATTTTCAGTAACCAAATAGAGTTGTAATGTTTGAGGATTAAATTTGGCTCTGCTTTGGTATTCCTGGAAAGTTAGATTAACATAGAAATCATTTGTCCTTAATCAGTCGATTGCAGTTATCTTCTTTTCATTATCACCTGAATAAATCACGCCTTAAAACTCGAATTAAACAGTTGAGTTTAGTTTCAATCTTGAAGTCAGTGAAGTCAATTACAATGTAGTTTAGTGTAGTGTAGTGTAGTGTTTGTTTATTGCTGTACTACTGTTTTTGTCTATCATGGTAGACGATAAAAATATATGTCGCGATTAAATGTACAAAAATATACTCTGTAAGTGTAGTTTACATAAACTTAGGACAATTTTGCATTACGATATTTCTTAAGCGGACACTTAGAGTAATTGTATAGTCTTTGCTTTGTTTACATTATATATATATATATATATATATATATATATATATATATATATATATATATATATATCATACTCCTTTACAATGAAAATTTACATTTCACCGTTCCTAGTTCGATTTTTTTCGATCAGAAAAATATGCTCTGATAATTATAAACTATTCGTGTGTGAATCGGCAGGTAGACTATTAGTTTAATTTTCAAAGTAGCAATACGTATATATGTACATATTAAGGAAGAGCCTCTTTTTTATGGAATAAACCCCCTTACTATTCGTTATCTTTACACACATACACATATGCCTACAGATATGTGTAAACACCCATCTATTTAACCTGTTCTGGTTATACATTATCTACAAAATGAGTAAAAGTATTCATGTAGTAATGATTACAATAATGATAATGGTAATAATAATAATGATGATAATAATAATAATAATAATAGGGATAATAATAATAACGCCGATCAACTAAATGCGAAATATCAAAACTTTGATGTAGCGTAAATACTCACATAAAGCTCAGACAGAAAAAAAAAGGATTATGATTTATTGGCTATTTATTTGTCAAATAAATAGTCTGTCAATACTAATCTACCAAACCACGGCTATCTCAGATAGTCAAAATGATAATGAATAAATAATTAGTAAACACAGTACAAAGTTTACTTGTACAATGCATACGTGAATTGTCCACAAATGTCTTACTTTTCAACAGAAAAGGACAAACAAAGAAACAAAACAATTTCCCCGTTTTAATAGCGAGATATTTTAGGAGAGAAGTGTATATATTTTCATGCGACTTCATAGCTTGTCAGGTGTATGTCTATTTCCATCCAATAACCTTAATAAGTTAATGTCTGATTGAAATAATACCAATGGTGATGAGTAGTTGAAAGCCAAACTCTGTAGACAGTTATAAAGAAGTTGCTATTTGTTGATATACCTGTAATTCTCCGTTGTTTTATTAGATCGAAATGTCCGACTTCCGTACCTCCGTGGCATAGAGGATAACGCCTTGGCGTTTGAAACGATACGTACGATTTTCGAGTCTCAATGGGAACAATACTCCTCACTGGAGTCCAAGTACATCTAGCTGACGAGTCCCAAATGGAAAGGAACGCTTGTCGTAGATTCCTCTACCAGACAAAACCAAGCAAATTAGTTGTAAAGAAGCTCTAGAATTATGTTTTGTACTTGTGAACAAATCGTATGCATATTCTATAAAGGGCTGATGTATATTCGAATTTCCAAGTTTACTCTGCATTACAGTCAGAGAGAGAGACGTTAGGACTAAGTAATTTAGGTCGGTTACTATTAACATCAAGATCTACAGGCGAAATCTAATAAGTTGATAGAAGAGGCAGCGAAGACGGGACTTCAAGTGAGTGTAGAGAAGAGAGAGGTGATGAAAATATCCAACCAACCACCATCACCACCACCACCACCAACAACAACAACAAACTCCAATCACCATCAACGGGAGAAACTTAAAGGAAGTAGCCTATTTCAACTATCTAGACAGCATCATTTCAACTCCAGGCAGCGGCACAGACGAGGACGTCAAAGCCAGCCAGGATCGGAAAGGTAGCAAGACGGGCGTACATTAACCTGCTTTACTGCACTCAGCATGAAGCGTCAACAACATCCGAATTTTCAACAACGACGTCAAGTCAGTGCTTCTATGTAATGGTTGAGAGAGTTGGCGCGTTTCGAAAGGGATTTCCAACAAACTACAGACATTCATCAACAACTGCCACCTATACTGGCTCGTTACTGAAGCTCAGATGGATTGCCAGAATAATGAGAATAAGCAAGAAGGAACTGTGGCTGGCTGGCCGGCTGGCTGGCAACGAACCAACTGCGTAAGAACCTATCACTCAACAAATATGCATTGGAATGAAGTGTAGATGGATTGGACTGGACCTGCACTGAGAAGGCCGACTGGGGACATCACGCGCTAGGCCAGGCCCTCGTGTGGAACTGGTATGGGAAGTGACGAGTTGGGCGTCCAAGGCGAGGGTGACGTGGAGGGAGATCGTGCTAGGAGGAAATGAGAACTTCTGGGCTGTCATGGAGCCAAGTTCAAAAGATTTCAGAGAACAGGGCGCATTGGAGACGTGCTACTGAAGCTCTATATTCCATTAGGAACTTAAGGCACAAATAATATTATAAATAATAATACTATTAACATCAGAAAGGTGTCTGCAATGACAAGTTTCCCTAACTTGACGATCATATTGTATAAAGTGGATTGAAAAGATTCAGTTAACACTTTAGAGTAGACAACGCAATCATTTTCATTTGTATTATCAAACTTATCTCACTCATTACTGAATTATAGTTGATAATGAACAGATCAAAAGTTTTTGAAATGTATAAATATTTTTAATTTGGTTGACCTAGCCTCCTAATTTTCGTTTTCTATAGTAATCTGTCCATTCTGCTGTTTTCATCAGTGTATTTGAAACTAATTAAGTAGGTAGGATAGTTTGAAGATGACTTTAAATTTTACGTGATAGCAGTGTTAAAGGTTAGAACAAAACTTTGGTGGAGACCAATCACGTTCAAGTATGCATTGACTACTAACCAGAATCAAATATATGAAGTTTAACGTAATTGTGATAAATTGGTTGGTTGTGACTAGCAAAAGAATCCAAGAAGCGCGTTTCAATAAATAGTAATTAGAAGTAATTATTAAAGAAAAGCGATATTTTACTTACAATTTACAAATCTGTTTTACATGAGATTTAAAGATATCTAGATTTTCAATTGGACTTGTCATATTTTAGACCTTACCATTGTCAGTATTCCCACTTATCTGTTTGGAACCGACCATATTATATCCAGTCAGGATTTCGCCAAAGGTCTTAAGTACCTTCTATAACAACTTCATGTATCTCCAATGTTGTTTATGTGCTCCTCAACTGTCAAACCAACGAGGTACTTTCTGTGAACAAGAACTTGATGAGGTTAACCCATTCCAGACAACGATATGTATGACTTCGAAGCATCTGTGTATATTGCAGAACCTAATTCTAAAACTGGTAGTACAGATTCTTATGATCTATCCTTTAGCCACTTGAATTGTCTTTTCCTCTTATTTCGGTTGAATATGCCAGGAATCTGTGATTTGTCAAGACATATGTGTATAACTTACTCAGTGCTGTTTAATTCGTCTTCTTCGGTTGTATTTGCGTTTCCGAACAAAACATTCACTTATTTCAACCGTATTACTTAATCCACCAAACTTCACACCCAAAGTGCATATTGTTTCGGGACAAATACTTGTACAGTGCTGACAATACTGCCGCATTGAAGGAACTTCACTAACATCCATTACAGTTCCTGTTGACGTTGCAGGTTTTCTAACAACTCAATGTACTACTAAAATCATTACTTGTTAGAAAGTTAGATTAGATCCTTTGAAAAAGGATACTATTCTCAAAGATTTCTACTTGTAAATAGGTGGGAGAACGAAAGATGAAACCATCTCTTTTCTCATTGTTACATATACAATCCATTATAAGCATCCAATATTCTCTTCAGATAACATTCACATAGTAATCTTTGTCACAATTCATAGTTTACATAACGGCAACAACACGATAAACGGACGTAACGAATGACCTTGAATACAGCATCTGCAACCTGATTGGCTTTCACTAACATTTCCGATCGGATAAATTTGTATAGAAATTAAACTGATTATACATTGATGAAAATTATTTTGTGTAACTTGTTTCAAAGTAGTATTCATCGGTGATTGGAATGAAAGGTATTAAATATTTCTGAAAAGTTTGCATATATAACACTATATTACACGTATATGCTCTCTAAAAATATTTTTATACTTTTATTTCTTTTATAGATTTGTCTTAATGGTGGAATATGCTTTAATCATGATATCAACATACAGAATATTGATGACAATAATAATAGATGGATTATTGACCAACGTGACAGCTTACATAATTCCTATATACCTTCTTGTATTTGCCCATTTGGTTATATAGGTGAATATTGTGAAATTCAATTAGATTTCTGTCAAATATTCTCTGATATCAGTAAATATTTCAAATCATATTTTCAATATCCTAATGAAATAGAGGATTATTTTGTAAAACATGTAAATATTTCAAGTTATCTTGTTAATGATTGGTTAATTTCAACACGTTTTATATCAGCAATAAAATCATACACTTGGTATGAATTCAATTCATTATATTCTGCATTCATCATAAATCATACAATCTCTTCAATATTGAATAATGATATTGATAGAAAAAGAATTTTATCATCAGAGAAGAATATAATATTGAGAAATTCTTCCTTGAAGATAAACAATATAATCGATACTAATATGGATAACATTAAAAATTCAATATTACATATGAAGAGTACGCCGATAGGTTTATGTGATGCATTAGGAAGTTCTCAGTGTATTCCATTGTCGTCTAAAATTGGTTATTCTCGTTTGAATTTCAATGCAGGGTTTAAATGTATCTGCCGTATAGATTATGAAGGTAGATATTGTGAGAAATATGTTGATTTCTGTGATAAAGTGAACAAACAATACAATGGGGTAAGCGAGTATTTTTTATGACTAATCTATATTTATATGACTATGGAAATGTATAAGTTATGAACTGTGTGCATTCTAACAAACAGTTTTTATTGTATATTACTGATGGATATTGGCTAGTAATGGGATCTAGAATGCTCTTTTCGTCCTATTTGGAACTCGTCAGCTGCATGTACCGGCTTCCCATTGCGTTATGTTGCTCCCACTAGGACTCAAACTAGGGGCCGATTGCTCCAAAAGCCAGAAGCAAGTCACTAATAAGCAGTGGATAGTTATTAATCTCGGGGGTTAGTTGGGATTTATTGATTTTAAGCTCGTTGTCGGTGCATCATTCATCATCATCATTATCAACATAGGACCAGGCATTACTGCGTAACGGTCCGAGTTGCCACACCTCACATCAGTTCATCAAGTAAGAAGGTAGTGAGGTGAAGGATGAAGATAAGTGAATGCAGTCAAAAGAAATACAAAGTACGAGAAGAAAGGAAAGAGGAGTGACAAAATGGTGAGATTCGGTATAGTGTAGTTAAGATGAGGATAATGTGTGTGGGGATACATCTACCCCACTGACATCGGTTCTGAGCCATATCACCTAGGGTCTCCAACCACTGGTTCCTCTTGTCTCGTGGACCCCAACCACCTAGTTTGCATCGTCCTACATGGCTCAAACCAACAGTCAGAAACTTCATACATTGGTGTCATGTTTTAGTCTGGCCACCTCGAGCCTTTTTCCAGCCTGGACCCACCTCAGCCAATATTGTCGGTGCACACTGCTGAGGAGTCGCACACTAGGATGAAACAGCTGTTCAGTTCTCCCAGATTATTTATACGGATGTCAGTAAGTGATGAATGACAATTAGAGATGTCGACAAACTTCCGGACTGAATTATTCTTAGTTGTTACACAGATTTCTGTGATTTCAATGTCACTCTGCATTTTTTGAATCCCTTCATATTTTGATTAATATATGAGTGGAATTTCGGCACTGTGGTAGATTGTAATTCCATTTTAGTCTGTCACACAGTGAAGGAACAGTATCATTTACTAGATAACATTTCGGACATAATTTATTGGCCATATTTCAATACCAGGTAACTTCACAACTTTCAGACAGAGTTTATATAGTCCCTAATTCTCTCTCCTTCTTTGTGATATAACAAGGATAGTAGAATTTTCCATATATGTGGAACGGGTGAAGAATCATTTCTATTACCGCATGTATTTGGTGTTGATTTGATAAACAAAGATTCGGTTATCAATCTCTCCCTCCCTCCAGCTACCTTACTAAGTTTTTAATACTGTCGCTCTATCCCACTATATTGTGTAATTATTTGCAATTGCATGCGTAGCAATAGCTGAGTTTTTTTTAAAATTTCTTATCTTATTACGACCTACTAATCTTGATTTAGCTAAGTTTTTGTGCTCTGTTATTCTACTTGAGCCTGGTCGACTACTTTGACTAACTTACGTATTTGACCTTGCAGTCATTACATGAGATTTTGTAAACCAAATTATTCTGCCTTATTCGATCAATTGGATCTTTTAACCTATAAAGCTTGTTTCTAAACCAGTTTGTTGGTTTAAATGCCACTTCAATCCTGTTACCATCGTTACTGTTAGTGGTGGAATTAATATTAATAACACCCGTATTGCTACTACTACTACTACTACTACTACTACTACTACTAGTAATATTTCTCTTTCTATTTATTTATAAATTTAGGTGGGTAATTATTCAGATGCAAGATATTCTTGATACATCTAGTTTCTGGCCTACTAGTGTAAACTTTTTTTTACTGTATCACTTAGGCATTTATTTAAATGCCAACAAACTCGTTTAGAAACAAGCTTTATAGGTTAAAAGATCCAATTGATCGAATAAGGCAGAATAATTTGGTTTACAAAATCTCATGTAATGATTGCGACGCCAAATACATAGGTCAGTCAAAGTAGCCGACCAGGGTCAATTGGAATAACAGAACACGAAATCAAGATTTCCAGTGGTTATTCATCGTAGAGACTGACATCAGTTGGAGGAACAAAGGAAAACTGGGAGCACTGGACAGATGTTTTTTTTCCTAGTATGGGACTCCTCAGAAGTGCGCACCCACGATCCCGCCAGGGATCGAACCCGCGACCTTCAATATCCGCGGCCAGTGCGTTACCATTGAGCTAGCCACTGAGTCATAATCCAATGCTCCATATTTCCAACTTCTGTTAGCTCACGATATAGCGCAACCGTCACCCAATGTCGTCATTGAGTATCTGTCCTCATGACCATCAGGCTTTGACTCCACCACCCTCAAAAAAAAAATCAAGATTGGTAAGTCGTAACAAGATAGGAAATTTAGAGACAGGCTCGGCTATAGCTCTGTACGCGATTACATGCAATCTTACAGAAGGGTGGGATAGAGCGACAGTATTAAAAACTTAGTTAGGTGGCTGGAGGCAGGGAGAGGTTGATAACCGAATCTTTGTTTATCAAATCAACACCAAATACATGCGGTAATAGAGATGATTCTTCACCCGTTCCACATATATGGAAAATTCTACTACCCTTGTCATATTACAAAGAAGGAGAGAGAATTAGGGACTATATAAACTCTGTCTGAAAGTTGTGGAGTTACCTGATATTGAAATATGGCCAATAAATTATGTCCGAAATGTTATCTAGTAAATGATACTGTTCCTTCCCTGTGTGACAGACTAAAATGGAATTTCTTATTTGAAGTTGTAAAAACTATCAAACTCATATGAAGAACTGATAAGCATCTCCCGAAGAAGGGAGACCTAAGTCTTAGCAAGAAATGGCGTGGAATCACGCTCCTGTCCAACCCAAGCAAAATATTAAGCGGCATCATCCTGGAGAAGCTAAAGGATACGCTAGATTCAAAACTACGACCGGAACAGGCAGGCTTCAAGAAGTACAAATCATGTGCAGACCAAATTGCAACGCCACACTACGCATCATCATAGAACGGAGTATAGAATGGCAGTCAACTCTCTACCTCAACTTTATCGACTTTGAGAAGGCCTTTGACAGCGTTGACCGAGAGGTAATTTGGAAACTGCTTCAATACTACGGAATACCACAAACCTTTATCAACCTCATTCAACAACTATATGAAGATGCCACATGCCAGCCAAGTAATTCATAATGGAAAGCTCAGTGATGTTATTGAAGTGAAGACAGGAAGGAGTAAGACAAGGCTGTCTACTATCCCCCATGATATTCCTGATTGTGGTCAACTGGATCATGCAGCAGACAACAGTGAGGAGCGAGAAGAGGGGGATACGCTGGCTAGACCAGGGTAAAGAACCTAGGAGATTTGGATTTCGCCGATGAGTTGTGCCTGATGTCACATAAACTTGAAGATCTACAGACGAAAACTGACAAGTCGACAGAAGAGGTAGGTCAGCGAAGGAAGACGGGACTTCAAGTGAATGTAGAGAAGACAGAGGTGATGAAGATACCCAACCAACAACTCCAACAACTGCAACAAATTCCAATCAGCATGAACGGGAGAAACTTAAAGGAAGTAACCTCCTTCACCTACACCTATCAAGGAAGCACTGTTTCAACTACAGGTGGTGGAGGCACAGACGAGGAGGTGAAAGCCAGCCGGGATTGGAAAGATAGCAGGACAGGCGTTTATTAGCCTTAAACCAGTGTGAAGATCTACCACACTCTGCATGAAGAACAAGATCCGAATTCTCAACACTAATGCCAGTCAAGTCAGTGCTTCTATGTGACGGTTGAGAGGGTTGGCGCGGTACGAAAGGGATTTCCAATAAACTACAGACATTCATCAACAACTGCCACCTATGCTGGCTCGTTACTGAAGCTCAGATGGATTGCCAGAATAATGAGAATAAGCAACAAGGAGCTCTGGGAACGAGCCAACTGAGCAATAACCTATCACTCAACAAATATGCACTGGAATGAAGTGTAGATGGATTGGACTGGACATGCACTGAGAAGACCATTCGGGGACATCACGCGCTAGGCCAGACCCTCGTGTGGAACTGGTATGGTAAGCGATGAGTTGGGCGTCCGAGGCGAGGGTGACATGGAGGAGACCGTGCGACTCGGAAATGAGAACTTCTGGGCTGTCATAGAGCCCAGGTCCAAAAGATTTCAGCGAACAGGGCGCATTGGAGACGTGCTACTAAAGCCCCATGTTCTACTAGGAACCCAAGGGACAAATAATAAATAATAATAATAATAATTTGAAAGATTGTTAGGTTACAATGTAATCTAGTAAAGTTTACCTAATTTCATTTGAAATATTTACCAGATTTTGAAATAGTAATAAGTTTACTGTATACTAGTGTAATAGTTTCAGTTGTATTATTTATCTTACATAGAGAATATCATATTGTATATATTGCCGATAGGTAACCGAACTCATTCATACCTAAATAATGAATACTAATTTAAGAGTGGAATATATAGCTATGGTGTAATAACCGAAGTATTGTCCTATCAACTAGTATATCGTGAGTTGACACATATACAGTAAGTTAGAATATTCAATCTTCTTATGTTAATTATATACTTCATAAAGCAATACGAAATTGTATTACATTCAAATTGCATTAGCTTAACTAATCATTACATCATCATTAGAAAAACAACTGATTTTACTGTTGAATTTTTCACGAAGATCATTCAAATGTGTTTGTTTCCGTGTAGTGCATTTTTTTGTTGTTGAAGGTTTCAAATACATATTTTCCAGTTATCTGCTTTCAAATAAGTGTAAAATATTTATCATATCCTATCATACTCATCTCAAGCATCAATTAGGTTTATCCGTTAACATTGAACCAAACAATCAGTAGTAGTAGTAATAGTAGTAGTTTACAATAATAAGGAATATTGATTTTTCTTTTTTTCTCCATAATACCTTTTCTCTCTCTATAGAACTATTGTTTAAATGGAGGTCAGTGTGAAAATCGAATTAAAAGAATCCTATCAAATGACAATACAACAACAACAGCAACACATATACAAGGATTTCCTTTTTGTTATTGTCCATCAGGTTTTGGTGGTGAACGATGTGAGTTGTATCATAACTTGTGTAATCAATCACCATGCCTTCATGGAGGTATTTGTCATCCAAGAAAACAACAGATACAACTAGAATCCAACTTAACAATTCAAATAGAATCTATAATCCCTTATATTCCACCATACATTTGTGAATGCCCTAAAGGCTGGTCTGGAATCCATTGTGAGGTTAGCTCTGGATTACAGTGTTATACCTCGGAATCATGTTTTCAGAATAGCGTTTGTAATAAATCAAATGGAATTGATTGTCCATGCAAACAACCAGGTAAATTTTTGTTTTCTAAAATTTTAACTTACAACAATGCAGAATACATTTTGATTAAACTTGCATACACCATAGTAAGTGGGATAGTCAAGACGATGGATACACAAATATTTTCAATTTAGGTATATTTTCTGAATAAATATAGATATGCTAGTTATAGAAGTTTCTGATTCAGTTTGTTTCATATTTCCAATAAGTTGGATTACTTATAGTAGTTTTTCTGTTCAACTCCTAATCTCGTTTGTCACTATCAAAATAAACAACTGCCAATCTAGACTACAAGTTCTTTTCCGCATATCTATGTGTTCTTCTTAATGATATCTTTGTGTGGAATAATTTTATTTCAATTGAATTTTGAGGGAGTTGTGGAAATTTGGAAATATTTCAAGTTGTTATTCATCGTAGACTGACATCAGTTGGAGGAACAAAGGAAAGCTGGGAGCACTGGACAGATGTTTCGTCCTAGTGTGGGACTCCTCAGCAGCGCGCACCCACGACCCCGCCAGGGATCAAACCCGCGACCTCCAGGATCTGTGGTCAGTGCGTTACCATTGAGCTAGCCACTGGGTCATAACCCAATGCTCCATATTTCTAACTTCTGTTAGCTCACGATATAGCTCAACCGCCACCCAATGTCGTCGTTGAGTAACTGTCCTCATGGCCATCAGCCTTTGACTCCACCGGTCATGACTTCTCATTGGAACTTCGGGAATACTTCTCGAAACTAGTCACCAATGAGCACCAGTTCAATTAAATTTTGAGGGAGTTGTGGAGATTTGGAAATATTTCAAGTTGTTATTCATCGTAGACTGACATCAGTTGGAGGAACAAAGGAAAGCTGGGAGCACTGGACAGATGTTTTGTCCTAGTATGAGACTCCTCAGCAGTGCGCACCCACGACCCCGCCAGGGACCGAAATATTTCCAAATCCCCACACTTCCCTCAAAATTCAATTGAATAATTGTATGCCTGAGAGAACGTATCGGTTAAGTAAAAGTTTCAAGTGTAATCTTTGGAAAAACATGGCATAAACTGATTTCCATCAATATATCTCATGCAAATTGCACATTCAGATATTTGCTGGCATTCACAGATAAGCAACAATCTGAACAAAGCATGTTCTCATAAATTCTCATCAGGCTTAACAGTTATAAAGTGCATTTGTATAGCATAAAATCAAGCCAAGTTAGAGGCAAATACCTTTTCACGAGGACTTTGAAGGTCATTGTGACAACTGTTGTAATCATCCAATCAACTTTCACTATTCCGGCTAGAAAGGTAGTTTTTTTATAAAATAGAGTTGTCGCTACTGAAATATCATATGTACAGATGGATAATGTTGATAGTAAATGAAAAGATAACCAATAACGATGACAGAAGTGACTTTAAATTTACTGAAGGCTAAAGGAAGAATAATGTTTAACCATGATCTGTCTACTCCAAGCAAAATATTAAGCTTCATAATCCTGGAGAGGCTAAAGGATACGCTAGATTCAAAACTACGACCGGAACAGGCAGGCTTCAGGAAGTAAAAATCATGTGCAGACCAAATTGCAACGCCACACTTCGCATCATCATAGAACGGAGTATAGAATGGCAGTCAACTCTTCACCTCAACTTCATCGACTTTGAGAAGGCCTTTGACAGCGTCGACCGAGAGGTAATTTGGAAACTGCTTCAATACTACGGAATACCACAAACCTTTATCAACCTCATTCAACAACTATATGAAGATGCCACATACCAGTCAAGTAATTCACAATGGAAAGCTCAGTGATGCTATTGAAGTGAAGACAGGAGTGAAACAAGGTTGCCTACTATCCCCCATGATATTCCTGATTGTGGTCAACTGGATCATGCAGCAGACAACAGTGAGGAGCGAGAAGAGGGGGATACGCTGGCTAGACCAGGGTAAAGAACCTAGGAGATTTGGATTTCGCCGATGAGTTGTGCCTGATGTCACATAAACTTGAAGATCTACAGACGAAAACTGACAAGTCGACAGAAGAGGTAGGTCAGCGAAGGAAGACGGGACTTCAAGTGAATGTAGAGAAGATAGAGGTGATGTAGATACCGCACCAACAACTCCAACAACTACAACAAGTTCCAATCACCATGAACGGGAGAAACTTAAAGGAAGTAACCTCCTTCACCTACACCTATCAAGGAAGCACTGTTTAAACTACGGGTGGCACAGGCGCAGACGAGGAGGTAAAAGCCAGCCAGGATCTGAAAGATAGCAAGACAGGCGTTTATTAGCATGAAACCCGTGTGGAGATCTTCTGCACTGCACTCAGCATGTGGAACAAGATCCGGATTTTCAACAGCAACGTCGAGTCACTACTTCTGTATGGTTGAGAGAGTTGGTGCGTTACGAAAGGGATTTCCAATAAACTACAGACATTCACCAACAACTGCTTACGCTCACTACTGAAGATCAGATGACAAGAAAGAATAAGCAACAAGGAACTCTGGGAACTAACCAACTGAGCAAGAACCTATCACCCAACAAATATGCACTGGAAGGAAGTGGAGATGGATTGGACTGGACATGCCTTGAGTAGACCATTCGGGGACATCACGCGTCAGGCCAGGCACTCAAGTGGGACCCAGTTGGGAAATGTCGAATTGGGCATTTGTCGCGAGGGCGACATGGAGGAGATCGTGCGAGGAGGAAATGAGAGGTTATGGGCTGTCGTGGAGGGAGGTTCAAAAGATTTCAGAGAACAGAGTGAACTGGAGACGTGCTACTGAAGTCCTATGTTTCATTAGGAACCGAAGGGACTAATAATAATAATAATAATAATAATAATAATAATAATAATAATAATAATAATAGTAATAATGATCTTTATGGATGTACAGTTCAGGTTTTGTTAACTTTATTGCTTCAATCTCATGTATGTGGAGCAGGTGTTGGCGAGCTACACATAATATTGTTTTTGGAACACGATGTATGGTATACTATCAAAAGCTTCATTGGCATCTATCTGTGTGATGTCATGTAAAAACTATATTTCTAATTTTTGAATATTTGATAAAACGAAGTGAGAAATGTTTAGTGATTCAGTTATTTTACACGTCTAAAATGGGATCACATCAGACTCCTGTGAATGGAATAATAAAATGAAATCTAATTACTTTTTAACAAGTCGCATTTTGTGTTGATCAAAGTGTTACACTTGCTTAGTGGGATGAAATTGTGTGACTCTGAAGGCCACCCTACAACTTATTGAAGTAAACGATTAGAGTTCGGTAATTTATGGAAAAAAACAACTAACATTCAAATCGAAATGCCGAAACCTGATTGTTTACTTCAGCAGTTGCTAGGGTAGTCATTAAAGTTACTCGATAAAATTACATTCATAACTCATAAACGTCAAGTTTGAACATTTCAGGAACTTTATGAGTGGCTCTGAGAGGGTCTTTTAAAAGCCACCCTAGCAACTATTGAAATAACCAACTAGTTTCCAGTATCTTGGCTAAGACGACAGTTTTGCGTAAAATACAGGTATTTAATTCGCTATGTCAGCAGTTGTTAGGGTAGCTTTTAAAGGCACTGATCTCTAAAGTCAGCCCTAGCAACAATGAAACAACAGTTACGCTTCTTCATTTTGGCTAAAAAGGCAAATTTTCAGTGAATAATTGGTTGTTTCACTTGTTGCTAGGATGGCCTTCAGAGGCGATTGACTTTAAAGGTCACTCTAACAGCTGCTGAGATAACCAATTAAATTCCTTTATTTTACTCAATGGAATGCAAAGGTAGTTTTTTCATAAAGCAGACAAAATTAATTGACCATTTTAGTAGTTGTCAAGGTGACCTTTTAAATCATTGAAAAATCTTCGCCTATGTTATCTTATCATCCTGAATAAATGTAATAATTTTACTCGTTATGCCTACACGAATAAGTTGAGTGACTTTGATGGCCACCCTAGCAATGACTTAAAATAACCAATTTTGGTAAAATAGAGAAATCGAATTGGTTATTTCAGTTGCTGCTACGGTGGCCTTTAAAGTCATTAAAAGGTCGAAAGGTAGCCCTAGCAACTAACATATTCTGTGTTTATGTTGCCTTTCAACCATGCTGGAGTTGAACTAGAGTCATTGATACAGAACATATTTCTGGAGTCACTCGGCGCTCAACTTCTCTTTCAGGATAGTCGTAACAACTATGACCAAGATGTTTACAATATTTCTGGAGTGATAACTTTTTTTGAAGTCACTTATGGAAAGCTGTGCTATCAAAGAAACTGAAGTTACGGACTGTGAAGTCACCCCCTGTATTAAGACTGAAACTGACTGACTTCAGTGTATTTGTAGTGTTTCAGAATATGATCAAACTCTTCATTCTTGCAAATTGTACAGGTTTGTCGAATTTTACTAGTTTATGGGGGAAGCCAATTTTATAGTGTTAAAAACGTGATTTAATTTAGTAGCATAATTTGTAATGACTCTTTCTAATGTTCTACAGGTTATTGTGGGATAAATTGTGATATATTTGGTACCGCATGTTTTCTGTTGACGAACAAAAGTGGCAGTGTTGTCGACATTTTCACTACCACTACTACTATCACTACTACTACTGCTACCATCACCAACACTACTACTACCACTACTGGTACCACTCCTAATGCTGCTACCACTACTTCAAGTACCACTACACCAATAACTACTGTTGGCGACATTAATACTACTAATCTTAATGTTGATATTTATGGAGCAGCAGGTAGGCCTAATTTATGGCCGGGTGAAGAAGCTGAATTATCTTACTGTTTACGTCAGAACTGTCAAAGTAAAAGTCATAATGGCAAGTGTGATACAGAATGTAATTTAATCGCTTGTGATTTTGATCATGGTGATTGTTTATATGCACTTTCAGTGCCTTTGGATCCTTTACCGTATATTGAACAACTTGAAAATAATACAAGTCATTATACAAGTTTTTCACATGATATCCAATTTAAACAACGTCCAGAACCAGCTATACCATGGCGTAGTTGTTCAGTGGTGATTGATTCAACAGACCATACGCCATGTCATTTATTATTTGCAGATGGAAATTGTGATCTACAGTGTTTCAAAGAGGAGTGTTTATTTGATGGTTGGGACTGTATCCAAGACCAAAGTGATGCCAATAAAGCTGATGTAAGTCATATATATATATATATATATATATATATATATATATATATATATATATATATATATATATCCCCTTACTCATGTATGCGTTATATGACTACACACTTGGTAAATTTGTTTCATGTGGTAGGAGAGATCAGGTGCTGTGGTCTCTAAGTAAAGCAGCCTTAGTGCTCTGATTGTCGAACTGCACTCGCAATGGTCTTTTTGCTGCAATTTTCCTACGTCCATTTAGGAGCAGATATATGTGTGGTCGAAATATTCTGTGGTCGCTGTCCAACTACATGCTCCAGAAGGAACAGCAATTTTCCACCAACCATTTCCAGTGATAACAATGTGGTATGCTTGTGTTCATCGCTGAGTTGAGTACGGTGGATACCAAGTCAGATCATGTTTTTCTTTATGTTTGTGCTGACTAGAAATAATTGGTTATCAAATTACAGTTGTAGTAGGCGATCACTGTTATCTGTCCGTTCAGCTGTGATTCCGAAAGTGCCACCTGAGTATCTTTCTGCTTGACGTAGCCTATTCAAATGTGTACTGAAATCATTTGGGATAACTATCACTTGTGAACGCTTGGCTTTCAATAGGGATTAGACAGTTTTTGGTAGAACTCATCTGAACTGCAGTCAATGAGTGGATAAGCGTAGATTACAAAGAAACAAAGGCGAGTTTCACTGTATCGTTCAGTCGAACAGCACATAGGTAACTCAATTGGGATCCAGTGAAGCAGTGGATTTTCTGCCTTAGAACCTAATGCTATACTTACACCTGCAAGACTGCAGCTACTAGCCGTCGAATCTCCAGAAACTCAAAGAGTGAATTTCGTGGATTCACCAAACTGACCGAGTAAGACTAAGGGAATAACGTCACTTGGGTCCTGTATGCGTGTCTTACAAACATAGCACACACATCCATTGCCCAAGTTACTGGAGTTTTGCCTAGTGAGGCTTGTTGTCCGATTCAGCAGAGGCTACTGTAGAATTTAAGGGACATCTGTTTGAGGTTGGTCACACATGGCCTTTTTGCTTTCAAATTGGACTATGAACCCATGTTGCCGGCATCGATATACCACGAGTTAGTGGAAGTGTGCTATTTTTGGAGCCGACCTTTTCTAACCACCTCTTCCTATAGGGAAGGAAACACTGGCGTGGTACTTACTAGTCATTTGAAGGAAACACCTTGCTGTTGTCACACTTCCGTTGAGCCAGTAGTATGACTTCACCCTCAGACTTTCATCATACCGTAGCAACATACTCTATTATGATAACTGGCCTTTATCTAACCAGTGTCCAACATACATTTTTGGCATGGTAGAACCTCGAAAGAACAAGCATTCTATCAGTATAGCTCTTTGGGTCATTGTGATATGCGAACCCGACCACTGCGTCAAGATAGCAGCTATCGGTTTGAATATTGTAAGTTATTTTGTTATTTGAATAGATCTAGTGTGAATGAAGTATTATGTCACTTATTTGGATTTTGAAGACAATTTAGGGATTCCGTCAAGTGTTGTAAAGACAGAATGTCTGTGATGGTTGTGGTGGATGGTAGGTAGCAGTAGAATCTAGAATGCGTGTTTCATCCTATTTGGCACTCATCAACTGGATGTGCTTACCCTCTAGCAAGTGATGTTGCTGCCACCAAGGCTGAAACCCAGAACCAACCACTTCAAACACCAGAACGTTATCCGCTAGGCCACTGGGTCATGACAGTCAGTCCCCGCGTGACAGGGCATAGTTTCGGTGTTATTGTTAGATCCTATTGTTAGCCACTGTTCATCATTACTATGAAACTGAAATTACTGGCAATATCGACACATCCGCTTTAGAGCTCATATATCAATAGTGGCCTATCAGTTTAGCCCAGTCAATGACGGGGAATTACAAGCAAAAAAGCAATAAGTGTATCTTAAGTTTTGTCATTCAAGTATTTCAAGAAGCATTACTAAGTCAGTGAAATGAGATATATATTGGCCTTGAGTATGTGTAGGATAAGGAACTAGTGTATAACTTGGAAAAAAGGTACAGTTTCACTGAATAAGCCAAATCGATTTTTCTATTATGGAACTGATAATTTCTACATCAGAAATAATTGATAATCATAGACGTTTCTGAATGGGATTACACGAATTAGGAAACCTTGTTTCAAGTAAACATTAGTTAGTAGGTATAGTATTGCTTGTATTATACCGTAGTTGATTGGATCGAGTTGATAAGTCCCTATTGACATATGGGCTCTTGTGCGGATGCCTCGATATAACTTGTGTTCTAATTATAGTAATGATGGTGGCTAGTAGTGGAGTCCAGGATGCGCATTTCATCCTATTTGGGATTCCCTAACCAGATGGATGTACCTGATGTTGTTCCCACTGAGATTCGAACTCGAGAGCGGTCGCTTCAAATTGCAGAGCGTTATCCACTACACCGCCAAGCCACGATAGCCATTTCTTGTGCGATGAGTGTACTTTTAGTATAATTGCTTGCATTATACCCTCTCTGGCTAATGCCAAATAGGATGAAATGCGCATCCTGGATTCCACTGCTAGCCACTATCCACCATTACTATAATTAGAACACAGGTATGTCGAGGCATCTACACAGGAGCCCATATACCAATAGAGATCGATCAATACGGTCCAATCAACGACGGTATAATACAAGCAATAACACTAAAACTATATCTGTCGCACAAGAAGTGGCTATCGTGGCTCGGTGGTGTAGTGGATAACGCTCTGGAGTTTGAAGCGATCGCTCCCGAGTCCGAATCTCAGTGGGATCAACATCAGGCACATCCATCTGGTTAGGGAATCCCAAATAGGATGAAATGCGCATCCTGGATCCCACTGATAGCCACTATCCATCATTACTTTAATTAGTTAATAGGCATTGAAACTCACATATAACTTACTATATGCTTTGTTTTATTACAAGAAGTTTCAAAAAGAAGTTACCAATTGCCATTGGTTTTATAATAAGTGGCCACAATTCGACGAATGGTAATTCCAATTATGATATTAAAAATTGCTCCATCATACTTGTACCACCAAATGGTTGAAGTTGGCAAACACAAACTTTAATTTACAAGCATCAAATGTGATAAGTTTACTATCAATCTTAACTTTTTAAGGTTATTCACCCTCTAAGTAGTTTTAAAGGCTATTCAGTTGTTGCTAATCAAAGCCTTTCAAGGCTTAAGATAGTTAAGATCACCTACTTGATACTATTCTGTACAAAAATAGCTGTTTCTAAAGCTTGTTTTATTGACTGACAATTGGGCAGTTGAAAAACTACTCAACCATGAGTAATGTCAAGGTGGAGAGTACAATTTATAAATCATTTACAAATCGATCATCTTATTTTATGTATACCAGTTGCTGGATGCAAGTCAGCTGGTCAGATAGCTGACAGCTCTATGAGTTGAATTTGTACGGATAAACAGGTGATGATATCAGCCTCGAATCAGCGAGACGGTTGTCCGATGTTAAGATCACTTTATCTGATCTGGTTGCCTAGTTAGATCTACAGATCAGCCTAATTGGTTTCTAACTACTCAAGTTATTGTTCAGTAGTAGTATCTTACATTAGTTACCGATTGTTTACAAGTAAAACTTCCAAACACTTTCGAATGCAACTAAACTAATAAAGGATGATTTGGTTGGTTGTGGCTAGCAGAAGAATCCAGGATGCGCGTTTCATCCTATTTTGGACTCGTCGGCTGGATGTACCTGTACCCCCGTGATGTTGTTCCCACTGAGACTGATAACTATGCATGATAAAAAGCCTATATGATGCACATTCTGAACCTTTCAATATTATAATCATAAGACTGAGATCTAATAAGCTAATCGTAGACTGTTTATCAGGAAGCCTGAAGGTTCTGAATGCTGTAAGTCAAATTTGTGATGTGTATCATTGGAAAGCTGTAGAAGGAAAGTTGTGAAATAGTCATTGTTTGTTATCCTTATACGAATGGCGGTTAGTATGAAAGAATTGTCAAGTGTTGGTACTGGTACTGAAAACAGATAAACCAAATAACTCCATACTTTTTGCAAGGTAATTTACTTGGTAACTAATTAAATTATCTATCCATTTCTCAGTGTATCGTATTGAACAATAACTTTCCCATATTGCTTTACAGTTTCTCATCATATCGTAAATTTTCCACTTTTATTTTAATATACATTCAACATTATATTCGAAAAATCATAAGGTTTACTAAAAATTTTTAAGGTAATTTTTATCATCACGGACTGATATCAATTGAAGAAGTATTGAGAAACCTGAGATCACTGTATAGCTGTTTCATCTTAGCATGCAAAAAAAAGAATAAAACTTGGACACTGTGATGGAATGTTATTTCATTTAATTGATTTATTAGAAGTATCACACAGTGGAACAGTATTCTATTCTAGTCTGATTATTAGAAATATCACACAGTGAAGGGAGAATATCATTTACTGAGTTATATTTTGGATACAATTTATTGTCCATATTCATATCAGATGATAATAAACTATGTCCGAAACGTTATCTAGTAAATGATATTGTCCCTTCACTGTGTGACATTTCTAATATATAGACTCAAATGGAATTATAATCTACCATAATGCTTAATTAATGGAACAGTATTGTTTACTGGATTACGTTTCGGATACAATTCATTGTTCATAGTCATATCAAGATAACTACACAACTTTGAGATATGAAATATACAGTTCTTATTCTCTCCCCTTCTTTGCAATATAGATAGGTAGGAGTTTCCACATATCCTCGAACGAGTGTTGAGTTATTCCTGTCGCGTGCGTCTAGTGTTGGTTCGGTAAACGAAGATTCGATTACCAATATCTCATCTCACCCCATCATGTTAGTTTTAAGGATTTTCACCCTGTCCTATCCTATTTTGTAGTTGTGTGTAATTTTGATGCGTAGCTACGGTAGAGCTTTTTTCTAGATTCCTTATCCTCTGTTAGGATCTACTAATTTTCATCAGGCTTAATTGCGCCTGATTGACTACTCTCACCTATGTTTTGATGGTGTTGATGGCATAAACTTCAGAAGTTTTCACTGATGATGTTGTCTAGGATGAAAATGAAAACTCCATGATTAAACCATTCAATTCAGAGAACACAACACCATTCAAAACAAGCCTCCTGAACTACAAATATTCTCTGTCACTTTGACCTATACATTTGAACTTGCAATCGTTGCAAAGGATTCAGTAGGCTGAGTTATTCTGCTTAATTGGATCAATAGGATCTTTTAACCTACAAAGCTTATTTCTAAGCGAATTTTTAGGTTTAGTGGATAGAGATGAGATCTGGTGTGATAGGTATTTACACTTACCAAATTATCTGCTGACTGGTTCTGTGATATTCTTGAATCAACCTATGCAGAGTGGGATAACTATGCAGGATTCAGCGATGATGCGTTAACTATTTATTACTGATTTCAGTTTTTTTTCTTCAAATGGTAGACATTTAGTGAACATTTGTACAGACAGAATTAATACATGACACTGTGTCAACTGTAGATCCTTAACAACTGAATAAAAGTTAAAAATAAATTAGTGAAACTTTCTTCATCTGGTTAAACTGTATAGTGGTTATAGCTGTCTGTCATTGAAGGAAATTAATTAATTTACTCTAAATTGAGTAATACAGCATAGAGATAGTTTGTTTTGTTATAATACTTACAAGTAAACAGTATTGAGATAATAACTATTAGTTAATATACACGTAATTCTCCATTGCTATACTGGATCGAATTGTTCGACCTCTGTTTGCATATAAGCTCCTATGCAGATGCCTCGATATTGGCCGAATGATAACTTACTTAGTTGTAAGTAGCAGAGGAAACCAGGACTCACGTTTCGTCCTGTTTGGGACTTGTCAGCTGGATGTCTCTGCATCTCATTAGTGATATTGTTCCCAGTAAGACTCAAACCTCGAACCTCAATCCAGTATAAAGACAGAGAATTAAAAATATATCAACAAACAGTTGTAACTAACACTCGTTGGCTATCGTACCTCAGTAGTCTAGTGGATAATGGCTTGGTGTTTCAACCGATGAGTCATGGGTTCGAATCTCTTTCGAAACAACATCACTCACTGGAGTGCAGGTATATCCAAATGACTAGTGAGTCCCAGAAGGGTCTTAGGTTCCGCTGCTCGCCACCAAGCAGACAATGATATTGTTTTATACTTGCCGACTTGGATCAGCATCATGAAAAAGAAAAACAGGTGATTAGTATCTCCTTTTAGATGCACAGTTAACAAGTTTTAGTCAGCACTAATAACTAGGCAGTAATTGCAGCTAAGGCTAAGAGACGAGTTCATGCACATCGTCTCTAATTATTGGAGATCATGTATAGTGTTTTTGTTGTTGGCACTGACTGACACACGTATAAGACTGATGGAAAGCACTGGATTGCAATGTTTTGAATATGCCCTCTTGATGAATACCGAAAGGTACTGAACTTGAATTAGAAGATCTTTTTAACTGCCTTCTAGTATCTGAAGATACTTTTCTCATTGACTTCTGTATTATAACCTACGATTCTTTTTATTTATACTGCGTTATGATTGAAGGTGAGATGAAAAATTTGGACCCCAACCGTATTCGAACCACCGACTACCGAGTTTCTCGCCTGATGATCTACCAACAAAGCTATGAGGTCTAACTACTGACCACATTTTTATTTCACTTCAGTCATCAAGGGTTTTACCCGACTGTCATGTGGATTCGTTGTGACGCGTTACTACCACTTGGTCGTATTCACACTGGGTGCCCAATCAGGACAACTCATCCCAATCAAATTCTAAGTGAATTAGAGAGGGGGAGCATCTTATTGATTATCATTTTGATTATTTGAGATAGCAGACATAGTTTAGCAGACTAATATCGGTACTGGTTGAAGGTGAAATGAAAATTCTGACCACGACCGGATTCGAACCAGGAACCACAGGATTTACGGCCCGATGCTCTAGCAAATGAGTTACTATGTCTTTTTATCTTTGATAGAATACACAATCTAGTGTGTGTTTTTTTCAAATTTTATTTTATCCCTTTCATTGTCTGCTAGTAAATTGATAGTCTTTACTATTTTTATTGTATCATTTAGAAAATTTGTTCTAATTCATGCCAAAATTATACTAATGATAGTATATGCTTAGATGATTGTAATAAAGAAGAAATAATATGTAATTCTAATGATAAAAATAATTGTTCATTAAATGATCTCGTCAAAACAATAACAACTTCAATCAATAATATTATTAGTGATCATAGTGAATCTATTATTGATAAAGAATTTAAAGGTGATAATGTACCAGGAAGTTTAGTTCTACTTATCAATTGTACACCGGATGAGATTTTAATCAATCATTCTAAAGGATTTTCAAACTCATTATTATCTTTATTGAATGAAATATTACATTTAGAAGTTACTATTAAACATCATCCAGAGACTAATAAATTAATGATTTATCCAGTGATATATATTTCTAATTATACAGAGGAAACTGTTCTTCTCAATAATAATAATAATAATAATAATAATTATAATGATATCAATAGTATATTAAAGCATAGAAAGGTGTTATTTCATACAATTCAATTGAAAACTAATAATTTATTGTTATTAGAAGAAGAAGAAGAGACAAGTGATACTATTCGTTCACGTTATTCACGTCATATTAATGAAAAACTATCTCATCAAACAATATTAACATCTATTCATGATAAGAATATAAAGAATCAAAGAGAAAGTATTGGAAGTCAAGTGTATTTTCAACTGAATTCTCAGAAATGTGATAAAATGAGTAAGGAAACTAGTTAATTATTATTTTCTTTCTATTGGATACTTTTTTTATCAAGCTTAATGTCAATAAAATAACAGTTTGAATATGGAATGGAATAGTAACAGTTTCAACATTCTTTACTAGTGATATTTGGAATACTTTAACATGAGTTTCATTTGTCGGATCTATATAGAAATATGCTGTCTTAATCAAAGTTATTGACTTATTATTAATATTATTATTTATTTGTCCCTTGGGTTCCTAGTGGAGCATACGGCTTCAGTAGCACGTCTCCAGTTCACTCTGTTCTCTGCAATCTTTTGAACCTCCTTCTACGACAACCCACAAGCTCTCATTTCCTCCTTGCACGATCTCCTCTATTTCACCCTCGCGTTAGATGCCCGATTCACCGTTTCCTATCTGGGTTCCACTTGAGTGCCTGGCCTGACGCGTGATGTCCCCAGTCTGCCTTCTCAGTATATGTCCAGTCCAATCCATCTCCAATTCCTTTCAGTGCATATTTATTGAGTGATAGGTTCTTGCTTAGTTGGTTCGTTGCCAGCCCGCTAGCCAGCCACAGTTCCTTCTTGCTTATTCTTATTATTCTCGCCATCCCATCCCATCTCATCTTCAGTATCGAGTGAGTGAATGTAGGAGACAGCTGTTGATCAATGTCCCTTAGTTTGTTGAAAATGCTTTTCGTGACGAGCCACCAAGTCTCTCAACCATCACATAGAAGCATTGACTTACTTGACTGAATTAGTGCTGACGATCCGGATGTTGTTCACGCTTTATGCTGAGTGCAGTAAAACAGATCCCCACACTTGTTTCAGGTTGATGAATGCCTGTCTTGCTATCTTTCCGATCCTGGCTGGTTTTGACGTCCTCATCTGTGCCGCCCGTAGTTGAAACAGTGCTGCCTAGATAGATGAAAGAGGCCACTTCCTTTAAGTTTCTCCTGTTGATGCTGATTGGAGCTTGTTGTTGGTTGGGTTATTTGACTTACCACAGAGTTTATTGATTGGGAAGACTGATGAAGTTTTTTGTTGGAGATGCTAAATCCCTAAAAATAAAATTTGAAGTTATCTTTTCAACGTCTTCTTCTTCTTCACGTGTATCACTCATTTGCACCACTTTTGAATATGCTGTTTTCTTATTGCTTCTCCTTACTTTTTTAATATGTTAATTACTCCGTCTATACCTCAAGAGTACCCCCAGAGTGTGTATATAATCTCATGAATTTTATTCACTAATTCATACTCTTTCAATTGAAGTAATATTCTTCAGTTTAATACTGTTGTCTTTCTTATGTTAACTGAGTAACTTAATGAGTATCATATTCATTTGGTATCCAAATTAACCATCTCTAATTTGAACCATCTTGGGAAAATGTCAAAAGTTTAAAAAATTTCCAATTTCGTATTTATGAAAAATTAAATATTCAAACCTGAACAACACCCAACAATCATTATCATTCTTTCGAGAACTACAAAACTCCCCCTACTACAAAATCAGATTATTTGACGATTCCGTATTCTAACAAGAAGCCTCGGGTTACTGACCCAGATATACAACAGAAAGAACACAACCGTCTTATATATCTTGCTTTTATTGATGTATATTCGGTGTACATGCATCTCTTGATGTCGTTGTTGAATGACTGTCGGCTACATTCCACCACAGCCATTACATAAGACCTGATATTGCTTATTTTTCAATAAAATTAGACATAATATACGTAAGCAGTCCACTAATTTAAGGTATTTCACTGTCAAGAATATAGTCTCCAGCGTGTTAATATGGTTCCGCCTATTGTTCTTGATGATATGATGTCATAAGTTTCTTATATGTTTATGTCAATTTACCTAGTGAGATGTTGAGTTTCACATATGTGATGAATAAACTCTGTGTTGAATTCAGCTAAAATCAGTCTGTCACAAGGTATCACAGTAACTCAGTCGGGAGGTTTGTGGAGATTCATTAATTGATTTTAGGTTGGAATTCATCATCGACTGACATCAGTTGGAGGAACATTGGAAACCTGGTAATTGTGAACAGTGCTCTATATAGTAAAGTGATAGAAGTTGGAAATATGGACCATTGGATCCCGACCTAGTGGATCCATAGTAACGTGCTAGCCATGGTACCTGAAGGTCCTGGGTTCGATCCCTGATGAGGTGGGGTTGTGGGTGCGCACTGTTGAGGAGTCCTAAACTAAGACGAGACAGCTGTCCAGTCCTGCCAGGTTTTCAGTGTTCCTCCAAGCTGATATCAGTCCATGATGAACACCAACTTGAAAAATAGAAATGTCGATTCTGATTGTTTCATATTTTCATCTCACTGTTTTTCATATGAACGATAGGAGAGAACACCAACACGATCGTCTACCATTTGTTCTAATTCATGCATAGTGACGTTATGGAGTATGTAGTATTGTAGTTTTTCAAACTTCACATAAGAATGGATACTCCTGCTGAGCAGGTTGAGTAGTTAGAAACCACTCAAACCTATCTGTAGATTTCACCAGCCAGACCAGAATGCTCTAAACACTAGATGACCTTTTTCCCTGGTTTAGGGCCGGGCTCAACAGCAGTATACCTGGACAAATTCAGCTCATACAGACGAATGCATTCAGATCACCTAAGTCTGGCTAACTGACTAGCATGGATCGATACACCGTACCTTGGTCAATTTATAAGTGATTCAGGTGATCTGAAGTAATCGGGTTCTATGAGCTGAATTTGTGTGGGGTCATCACTAATGAGCTTAGCCCCAAACGACCTAAACGGTTGTCCAATGTTTAGACCCCTCTGATCCCTGGTTGACTGGCAAGATCTACAGGTAAGCCTTAGTAGTTTTGAACTACTCAAGTTATTCAGTAATAGTGTTTTTCGCTAGTTCATGACACTTTTATGTCAGAGATCACACCTTGTGATCGTGGCTGAGTGATTTCCAAAGGAAGCTTTGTTGACACCATAGTTAGGTAGTTGAACAAAACGACTCAGGTGGGATAGATGTCAAAGTGAACCGTGCAATTTGTCGATCATTCTATTTCAAATAAGAATATACTAGGTAGATCTGCGGATTCTAACTCCTGTACACTTTTCTTCCTTTCCACGGAATCATGTTTGAAAATGGCTGTTTCTTCCGATCAATTTTCAAACTTGCAAATAGTGACTTGTGTAATAGCAAGGCTTAGGCGGATACTATTCGGCAACCTCACCAATATAATGATATTCTTCATGACCAAGCACATCCTACCAGACTTCATATTAGCGCACATGACTTTGTCGTAGAATGCGACCGTTACTTAGAAAATACGTGTAACTGAGCTTAGAGTGGAAAACTATGCTAATCTGGGGAGGCGTAAGGGTTCAAGGTGTATCTCACATATCTGTACATAAGAAGCATTTTACACCTTTTCTGTCTACACCCGATTCATTAACTCGAGAGGGATATATATATATATATATATATATATATATATATATATATATATATATATATATATCGAATTAGCAACAGGATATAACAACATAGAATAACGCCCACAAGTATATCACTTCAACTCACCCTACTTAATAAAATCGCATACAGCAACTGTAACAGAGGCATGAAGATGTTTAAATAAACAAGAAGTTGAGTAGAGAAGAATCAGATGAAGCATGGTAAGATGTTGAATATATTGAGAAAGATTAAGAACATTGTATTAAGTTTACGCTCATTGATGATTACCAACTTTTGTTATGCATTATGTATTGCGATGATAACGAAGTTGTATAATTTTGTAGTCTACTTGGTGACTAGCAGTGAAATCCAGGACGCATGTTTTGTTCTGTTTAGGACTCGTCAACTGGATGTACTTGCCATCCGGGTACTGAAACCCAAACTTAGCACTCACTGCTTCAAACGCCAAAGCGTTATCCCCTGGGCCAATGGGGCACGGTAGTCACCTTTTGTGCAAGAATATCAGTTATTACTTATCGATACTTGTAATTTCCCACTGGAATACTGAACGAAACGCGTGTCCTGAGTCCTAATGCCACCTACCAAGTGGACTACAAAATACTAAAAAACCTGGCTGGCTGGCTGGCATCGAACCAACCAAGCAAGAAGTTATCGTCCAACAAATATATAGAAGAAGAAGAAAGTGGAGGTGGATTGTATTGTATTGGACATACTGTGAGAAGGAAGACGGTTTTGGTACATCAGGCATCAAGGTAGGCCATGTCATGCCAGGCCGTCGAGTGGGATGCAAAGGGTAAGTGTTGAGTTGGTCGTCTGAGGTGAGGGTGACATGGAGGAGATCATGTGAGGAAGAAATGAAAGTTTATGGGTAGTTGTGGAGCGGGGTTAAAACGGAAGACTGTAGAGAAGAGAGTGTAATGGAGGTGTGCTAGTGAAGCCGTATGTTTCACTAGGAACCCAAGGGAGAAATAATATTACTAATAATTTTATCGATTGGATTAGGCAATAGTCAGACACAAGAAGAAACTGATGAACACTGAAAAGTTGCTGTTTTGCTCATGATTTTTTGATATTTTAACCTCCCATTTTGTTATGGAGTTATTATTATTAAAGTTTCACATGCAATACACTTAAGCAGCAACCAGCTACATTTACATCATTGCAGTCGATTCTCCTTAGTTCCAGTTAGTTAATTAAATCAGATTAATCTATTCTTTGATTAGGAATTATCACTACAGTTCTCATTAAATGTGAAGTAGTTAGTTTAATCAATCAATGAATCCTAACTTTTCTTTACTTCTTCAAAATCATCTTTCCCTTCAAAACTAATAAACTTGCATAATCCAGTTTTTAAAGTGATTTTTCGCTTTAACTTCATAAAGATCATCTATATTATATACTGTTAGTGTAAATTACCTAGTTGAAAGTATATTAATGTTGATTATGTTATGGTTATTGTTGTTTTTTTTCTTATTTATGCGGTTGGTTACTTCATTCGTTTATGTGTGCATACAACTGTGTATATGGAAATGTTATGTCTAAAGTGCTAAACT